CTGGAGCAAACGGTCGGCCTCCAGAGATTACATTGGTTGGAGCATGTGCTACGTATGTCACAAAATAGGTTGCCATGGCGTGCTGTGTTTACCGAGGTATGTAGTGAATGGAAAAGCTGGTCAAACTAGGACCTGGCATGAGATTACGAAAACTCTAACCAGGAAACTCGGGATCTTTGCGATCAATGGTTACAGACACTGAGTAGTGATATGGTTGACTGTAGTAAGCAGTGGAGCTGGTGCATCTTCTCAGTTTCTCCGTAACCTTGATCAACTGAAATTCTCCAGTTTCTCTTCCACTTTACCTTCAACTTTCTTGTCTTTCTCCGACTGCTTCATCCAAAGGGGCAGCCAAAACCGGCTCACGAAAGCGTATGGTTAATGATTTTACAAACTGAAACTGAATCTGCCTTTGTTCCTCATATTCAAAATGTAGGTGTCTAAGCAATGCCAAGATTGCACTCATAACAAGTCCACATACAATATAAAACTATTGTGATGGAAGGCAGTACAAAGAGAGTCCTGGTTAGCGACCGAAGCAAGAATGGGGCTCATCCAAACAGCCTACCGGAAATCCTTTTCAACTAAAGAACAACATCTCATTCCACAACAGAGATACCACCCTTCGAAATCATATACGGTAGAGAACCAAGAACGCCTCTTAATGCGTTACTCGGAAGATCCGGTGAACAGCTTTCCACGAAGGAGCGAGACAAGCTGGAGAGAGAAGCGGTTGAGAAAACCAGGTAAACCCAGCAGCGCAACAAGGCAAGGTACGACAAAGAACACCGATCACAAAAGTGACAGCCGTTCGTACCTGGACAGCTGGTAAAAGTTAAGAAACAAGGCAGACCAGAAACAACAGGACCGGGGGCCAGAAAGTTCAAGCAGCTAGGATGGGGCCATTCACCGTCCTGGAGAGGAAGAACAACAGCTTTCGGATCAATCAGGGTCCTCAAGGAAGATGGGTAAATGGTAAAGAATTGGAGCGGTGGTTCACCCGTGGCAATCATTTCAGAGGAGGGGCAAGTGTGACGGAAGGCAGTACAAAAAGAGTCCTGGCTAGAATCAAGAATGGGGCTCATCCGACCAGACGCGCAGACGCAGCATCGGAAAGTGCCAAGCGAGACAATGTTGACTGCCACCCGAAACGGGAGAATCGATAATTACAGCCCGACAGACTCCGTTTTCCCAGCCAGCTCGCCTTCTCGTTACACTATGGTTCAGCTTAACTGCACAGTTTTACTGGACAGCATGTGAAGATCTAACATTTAGTTACCAGTCTGTATGTGAGGGTGGAGGCGGATTAGAAAGCACGAACCGCCTGAGAAGTTCGGCCTGGCACCTCGTCTCTCTATTTCTCTCTGCTCTCAGAAAAGATCGACGGTTCAGAAAAAGTCAATCGATTGGTGGTCTTCACTGCGATTTGTTGGAAATATGCGAAACTTATCGTAAGGAAAAGACCCCAAGTTTCGACAAATTTGCACTAAAACGTGTTAACTCAGTGTCAGTAAAGAATTTACTTTGATCAATGATTCCCACTGCATGAGATGCGCCAACTGGATCACGTGTGTCACTCTATCGATCCGAACGTGCAATCAATTAATTGCAGATGGGCGCATAGCACAACAGCTGAGTGAGGTGAGCAAAGATCGCGGGTAGTCGAATGGCGCTACGCTTAAGCGGACGCACGGCATGCGGCACATTCTACCTTCATTATGAAAACTCCGACACCCCGCATAGCTCACTTCTGAAGCTTGTTATTCGATCTCAAGCTAAATCGGATTCGATCAAATAGATACGAATAGTACTTTTCCGCTTCTAAATTCATTCATTAGTCATGCATTCATCATTGCCAACCGATATACTGATCGTGCAACAATGCGATATCCACCGACTTTCGATTGGATCGGTAGCGTAAATCATACGATTACGTCGTGTTTTCGTGCCGTAAATGCAGCGTGGCCATAACGAGCTCTAACTTTTTTAGGCCTCACCATCACACGTACACACATATACACACAATTATAGGTAGGACATTTTCGATCAACTGATCACTTGTTCAAGTTGGTGTGTTGTAATAATGATATACCAGTCGTTCAACAGCGAAAAAAATATTGCAAATCCTCGTAATAAAGAAGTCAGTAAAATCATGAACGTCCATCAATGTTCGCCAGAGAAACCAAACTGCTCCCACATAGGTCCGGGCTATGGCGGTGCAGTGGTTTAGTCGCTGTCGCCGGCGTGCTTCAGACCTTACAGTCCGGGGTTTGAACCCGGCTGCCACCACCCACTTTGCTTTCGACCGGACCTCACCCAACTCAGCGAGGCCATATCTGGTTCGCCACTCCAAGTCCCAGGTTTCCGTCACTCAACATCAGGTCTTCGTGACTGTGGGCTCACTCCGTCTGCTGTTTATCACACAAAATAAGTGTAACAAAAAAGGTTTGGAAGATGTGAAAGCAAAAATCGAACTACTTATATATAATGTCACTTTCCATCAACTCCAATGCCCAAAAGCGATATGTTCATATGATGACTCACCCACTGAGATTTGTCATACTTCCCAGTGGTGCGAAACAGTCGACTGAACACAATGACGGAAGTCAAAGAGCTGTGAAGTATACACGGGTTACTTAAAGCCCGCGTGAACTGGCTCATGGTTGGCTGATTTATAAATTCCTGTTTCAGTTGGACACAGTTGAACCAATCACAGAACAGCTGTTCGGTCAAGGTATTCTATTGGTCCCGTCCTAGGCTTACCGGCCAATTTGTCACATGACCGCTGGACCAGGCGGGGAGTGGGGATGGGGGACGAGAAGATAGAGCATGAGAGAAGAGAGGGACCGGGTGAACGCTTCATACGGCCGATCGGCTCACTTCGGGTCGGGGTAGTAATACTCCCACGGAAGCACTGAGTCAACCGCACTTGACTCAAGGTCAGAGGTGGACCAGATGAAAACGTTCATCCAGAAGATGTGCCAACAATGATAGGCCACAAATAGAGTTTGCAACAACACGAGGAGGCACGAAGAAACCTTTGTCAAACCAAATATTTCAATTAGAAACTAGAGGTTTTTGCCCAGGGATGTTCTATCGATGGATAAAAAGCCTTCCGTTGTTCGGAAACAATTTTTGAAGTTTAGCGTTTTACGTGAATATCACAAGCAAGTAAAATTCTACTAAATAACAGCCATCAAAAACATTTCGAACAGGAAGTAAATCATCAACAGCAGACAGAAGTTCATATCAGTAAGCATATTTTCAAACAAACCAAACCTATCTAATCAGAAGAGGGATTCACGGATAGCGTAACCAACAGAATTGTCGTGTTTCATTTCTTCTTTGTTGGTTTGGTTGACACTAAAAATATCTATTCAGTAATAGAACGGGTATACAAATTTAAAACGGTCAACACTTTACCAGCCAAGAGGTCAACCCTAACCGCGTCCCAACTTCGCATTGGCGGTGCAACTCAAACCACGGCAGATCTATCGATGTTTGTTTGAAACTTATTCTTGCGAAGCAGTGCTAGGCGGTAATCGATACTCATGAAAATGGATCGGACACGTTGACTATTATAAGCTCGGGTGTGTGTTGATAATAGGAACATTGAAGCCGGGGAGTGATTGGGTGGAGTTGAACGCTGACCCCCACAGTACTTACAGTTCAACATCAATGCGCAAGTTTGTGACTTGAGAAAAATACGGATAGTGACAGAGAAATCAGCAGTTCCGGTAAAATTGGCCGTTTTCCTTTCGTTTGGAGTCAGCAAGGTTTGTTTTACACGAATAGGTAGCAACAATTGCTAGATTTAATTGATGCGAAAATGTCCCGTGGCAATGTTCCCGGGTCGAATGTGTTCACTGTATCATCGACCAGAAAGGGAAGTGCATTTCGGATACCCTGACGCTGTTTGGTTGGAGTTACGGGAGTCGCCAAGAGTCACTGTGGCATTCGTTGGTTTGCAGCTTGCTCGTAGAGTCTATGAGTAAATGCCATCAATAAACTTTATGTGAAATCGGTCTTTGTCGTACCACAATGCCTCTGCTCGCTTAGTTAAAGCAAAAAGTGTAAACGGCTGGGGAAGTTGAGATACTGACAGCCGAATTCAAGAGGGGATCGATAACAGTATAAGGTACAGTGCGTGGCATAGAAGATAGAACGATTTCCATGTAACCGCATCCAGAAACTGACTACTTCTTAGTCCTTCACATGAAACTCGTGCAACACCCTGAATTTTGTAAGATTTGCCTCTTCCAACGTGCATCGTTCCGAGCCTCATTTACGTGATTGTGTATGACACTACCACTCAATATAACAGTACTAATATCCACCTACGTTTCTGCTTCTATTAACCGAATGCCAATACCGTGTGTGATTTCTCGATTTGGACGACGGTTGCTGGTTCATCAGTTGTGAAATAACGAAACATCAGTAAAAATCAAACTTAGAATTTATTTATAAAAATGCCTCCTAGACTCGATACAGGTATTGTACTTTCAATTCGTCCATGTTTTATTTCTTATTCTTCATTTTTGAGCATTGGAGGCAGTCGCTTTTTGCATGGAGTCTACTAAGTTGACTGCCCAACAGTATTTGCCAGTTCCATCTAGTACGTAACACACCCTAACCACGACCGCTGTTGAGGCAAGTAAATTATCTGTTTCTACCACGAGGGAAAGTTTTCAATTACATTCAAATCCCAACTGCTGGGTGGTAATTGAATGAATTCGACATGGGACTTGATCCATCTGGATACTGTTTAAATGCGAAAAGATATTACTATAAAATATTAATTATAATGAGATTTCACCATTTTCTACTACCAACCCCAAGCGAGACGATCTACTTACCATTATATGGGAAAAATAAAAATTTTGCGAATGCATTTCGGGAACGGCATTTATCGAAAATCTACCACATCAGTGCAACAAATTTTGTGATATCCGGAGTAGTGTGTACGGTAGAGAAACAACAAGGCATTCGGTAATTACTTCCCTTCTAAGGGTAAGTTTCGAACTACTATAAATTTTAGCGCCACACAAAGTCGCGCGCAAATTCACACGGTAATACAAAATAGGTGATATAACATTGGAATAAATACACTTTACTCATAACCATCAATATACAAGTATCAAATATTGGAAACTGAACTTCAATTTAAGCTACCCGAGCTAAAAAAAAACAATCAACGCCGTTGTTTACAAAACTGTCACTGAAATGTATTTCCAAAAATGAGATTCGTGTTTCACGAGTTTGATTCGCACCTGTATCTCTCGTTTGTAGAATTTGCCGTGAAAGGTTAAGACGATGTTATTCAAACGAGATCACCGCAGGGCCCATACCAAATATAATTAGTATCCACTATGATCCACAGTGGCGGTTTTGTTGACATTACCACCATACAGTAAGGCCAAAACAGACCAACAGACTGCAAGCCACTTTACGGAAAACAGGTGGAGGGCTTACATTAGTGGTCAAATTAGGCACAGATTATGAATCACGATTCACGGACGCAACTGAAACACTTCATCGCACTAGCATTTGTTACGTTCCCGGATCGCCCAGAGCGAGAGGAAGAACTAAAACCGTCTGACCGTCAGATCCGTGTATGTTCGAACGAATGCGTCAAACCCTAAGCCACATGACAAGAGTGACAATCGTAACATCATAAAGGTCAAGGTCAGTGACACTGTTTGTTCACCTGCTGACCACCGCTGGCACCCCTAATAATTCGTACTCCGGAATCTGCCGTCACCGAGACGCAGGAAAAAGTAGCAGAAGTAGTAATTCGTTTGTTGAAATAATCCCACCGAGCACATTTCAAACAAAATAACAGAGTAACGAACAAGCTCGTTTTCAGAGATTCGTATTCATGTCAATACATCTCAATATATATCACTAATTGGGAATAAAATTGTCATGGGAAAATAAAATAAAATAGGAGCACAGGGTACTAAAAACGACTTCAGGTGACCCGGAAATCGGTTTCACCACGATCACATGTTTATTTGTCCACTCATCCGATCATCGAGGTTACGCACGGTGCGGTTTGTATGGATGGTGGGACAGGGAAGCTTTAGCGATGGCACAAATTGTTTTTGGGCAGACGAATACCCACCGCTTCTGCCGTAGCCAACATCCGACAGCGAACCTGCCTCGATAATCGCCCACGAACTTTGTACAGGGAAAGCCTCGCACATGTTCACGGTGTGATTTGTTTCAGCTAGGTGTGAAACCACTGCACTGGTGAGTGACTTAATCGTTCCGGTGTTCAGCGACGCGGGGTGGTGTTCACGAATCCGTTCGGACAATCGCCTGACCGTGCGGCCTATACACGTTGTTCCACAGGAATAAGTAAATGAGTATACACAGAATGAGACCGCAGAGTCTGGAACTTTGTCCTTCAGTCGCAAACACACAATTAGCTTGGACGTGAACAACAAACGAAGTTTACATGCATAGAACGTCTTATTGATTGAGTTAGATAATCTTTGTATAATCTCGGCTGATGTGTCCCCTTTGAACGGTATAGAAATGTACACGGATTTTTTTCTTAACCTCGGTGTTTTATAAAGAGTTTTGCGTGCACTGAACCATCTTGTTGACTAAACGCTCCAGATATCCGTTACGTAAAAGATCGATTTTGCAGTACGGAGCTCTTCTTCTAGCGTGTTCTCACTGCAGATCTTTCTTGCCCTATTCGCTAGACAGGGAACCAGGTTCCTTTTTTATCTTCAGTGGCACAAAGCTTCGGAAATGAATGTATTGATCTTTCCACGTTGCCTTTCTATACACTGAACCATCTGATCGACGGGTGATGCAGACATCTAGAAACGGCAATTTGTTGTTACATTCCATTTCGAAAGTAAATGTTATGTTGGGATGCGCATTGTTGAACCCGTTTAATAGTTCCTTTGTATTCAATGTTGCACCGATCACACAATATCATCTACGTACCGTGTGTATGGTACACAGTCTTCGATGGCTGATTGTAATTGAGTGTTTTCAAGCTTAGTTATGAATAAATCCGCGGAAAGCGGTCCCAGCGGAGACCCCATGGCTACGCCATCCTTTTGTCGATAGATGTCATCGTTAAACTTGAACTGAACATTATACGTGCAGAAATAAAGCAGTTGTTTAAGGTCATCCAACCAATGGCCTGCCTGTATTCTTGAGGTCACACACAGCTCCTATCTGGACAGCACGACTTCTGCTTGGTCAGCACGTTTGGCCTGTGGTTCGTTGCTCAGAAACTGTAATGCGTAGGCGCTTGTCTGGCATCATTTTGGAGGGTTGACTCATCACGGTTTTCCAGAAACTGTAAGGTGTCGCCCCGTGGATTGCGTCATCCCGCAGGCTAGGATCACCACAACTCTCCTAGTGAGGTATTCTCATCGATAGATGTTCTAGGAGTATGGGACTGCAGCCTTTGGTCTTCTCTACCTGGTAACATCGTATCACCGGATGAGAGTTCTTGGATCTATTCGGTTGAGTCCTCAACCGAAGTCACCAACAGCAACACTTGTGGAACGACTTCTCGACTAAAGCAATTTAGTAGAATCCGCATCACAAACGACGTGGTCAGTGTAATGGTTAGAAACACCTCCGGCCACTTTGAGTACGAGTCGATGAATGCTGGTGCGTGATAATGAACGAAGAACGGCCCACGTGCATGCACGTGTTGCCAAGGAACCCAGCTTTCTGGTCATGATACCCAATTCTTCGGTTTTAACTTCTGCCTGTGTAGGCACGCTTCGCAGTTTTAGCGGTTCGACCAATGTCTTCATCTAGGCCGGGTCACCAGCACATCTGTCATGCTAACGACTTCATCCTCTCCACCCCTAAGTGGCCCTTATGCAGATCTTCTAGCACTGCCTTACGTAATGGAGATGGGATGATCAGTCGATCCTTGCGGTATAATATTCCATCAGGTTGTACTCTGGTTTCTTTTCAATGAGCGTAGAATGGTGGGCAATCCGATTCAGGTCTGGACGCCAGCCTCTCGACAGGGCTTTTTGGATCTCGGTGTAGTATCGCTTGATGTATCTGCGCAACTCTTCTCGTGATACAGGGGCTGCTGTAGCAATGAAATGGCATCTCTCGGCCGCCGATAATTTGGACCATCTGGAGAGAAAATCGGCTTGAGGAATGGTTTTGTTCGTACGATGATCTACGTCGTAGCCGTAGGTAGCCAGTACAATACTCTATCGCTGAATCATCGCTACTGTCGGTTTGGAAATCGACTTGTGTGGACTACAAAGGTACTGCAGTGCCTGGTGATCGGTCAAGATTGTGAAACTTAGTCCAAACAAGTATTTGTGCAGGCGTCGGACAGCACAATATACGGCCAATGCTTCCTTCTGTGTCTGTGAATAGCCTCGTTCTGCCGTGTTCAATAAACGAGAGATGCAGACAATCGGACACCCGCCCTGTTCAAGTACGGCACCAATTCCAACATCCGACGCGTCTGTTATCAACGTTTGATGTTTTGTTGGAGATAGCGAGGCAAGTACTAGCCGTTCCGCTATCATCTGAATGATTTCGCGCAGAATTTGTTCACATTTGGCCGTCCACTTCCATTCTGTTGTCGACTGAGCTGCGAACAGCGGTTGGGCCTTCGCAGCGAAGTTCAGGATGAAACAGAATTACTACTGGAGGGCATCCCGTGATGGACCTCAGTTGGAGTTGGCCTTTCAGTGATTCGAGTTCAGTCAAGGGACGAAAACGACTAGGATCAGGACGGTAGACCTTCGAATAACCTGTGAAACCCAAGAATTCCAATTCCGAAGAACTGAACATGTATTTGGAGACTCAAATCGACACATGGTTTTGATCAAAACGCTCCAGTAATTTGAGAATTCTGTCTTCGACTGAGCCTTCATTGCACCAAACACAATGACATTGTCCTGATATGCCAACACATCATCGAGTCTTCGAACGACTTCGTTAATGGCTGCCTAGAACATGCCTGACGAAGTGTGTAGAGCGAATCGTAAGAAGTTGCACTGATACAGTCCCCACGGCGTGTCGATGGTAGTGAATTATCGGCAGACTGGAACGAGAGGAATTTAATGGTTTGCATCTGCCAAGGCGACCGTTGAAAATCACATACTGCCATGCAATGCTTTCATGAAATCTTGTGGTTCCAGGGTGGTGGCGGCACACTTTCTCAACCGCGGGTTCAGGATCAACCGATAGTCATCGCAACTTCATGGTATTTTAACGTTACTTTTGATGGATACCACAATTAGTGTTGCCCACGCGCTTGACTTGACACGAATGATGATACCATCACGCTCCATTTTCTCGATGGCTTTCAGTACACCTTCACGTTATCCAAAAGGGAGTATGCGCGGTTTTATGAATATCGGCTCACCGTCAACTTACAATTTGGCCGGCTGCACATTCACGCCTCTTGAATTGTTGGAACAGTTCGCGGTCAAGCGCTGAAGATGCGTGTGCACAATGGGCGCGGTGCTGGCATGATGGAGTGACACGAAGTGTTCAACGCACGAATGGCGGTTAAGCCAAGTATGGATCGACAGCTTTTGGCAATTAAGAAGCGTATTGGAACATAGCGGTTTTCTGTCGAGTGCACCATCAGTGAAACCTCACCCATCAATGGTAGTTTGTGTCCCGGCAGACCAAGGATTTGCACAGACGTCAGACGGATTACGGCTTGAGGACAGATTGACCGAAGTACTGCAGTAGAAATGATAGATTCCGTGCTTCTTGTGTCCGCAATAAATTTGTGCTTCGTGCCCGACTGTAGTGTCATAACTTTGTATAGAAATTGAGCACATTGACTTTCGGGTCGTAGAGAAAGCACAAGGTTTGCGGCCTGTTCGGCTGTTGGCTGTGCGAGATTGAAGCGGGGCTGTTTGCACACTCTCCGAATATGGCCAGTTTTCCAGCACGCATGCCGCTTGGCATTGCGAAATCGACAATTGGAGCGCAAGTGGTAAGCTCCACATAACAGACACGGGTTGATGTTTGTCGTTGCCGGGGATCACGCTGTTCCTTCGATGTATGTTTGGTCACTGGAGGTCGGATTGATCTGTGTTTCTGCTGTTGGAAAAGGGTAACCCGTTCAGTGTATGTCGCTTACATCAGATCAGCATGTTATTCACAGATTTTCCGTGCCTCTGTGAAAGTTAGATCCTTCTTCTCCAGCAAGTTCCGCTGGAGTTTCAAATTATTTATACCTGCCACTAGGCGGTCACACCGTGTTCCTCCAACCGATCACCATAGTTGCAGCGCGATGCTTGCTTGTTCAGCTGTAGGATGAAATCTTGGCACAAATCAACGAACTTAATTTCACCCGTTAATATGCCTGGGACTCTGTAGGCAGCAGGTGGTTGAGCAGCAACGTATCCAGAGATTCGTATGGTATTTTAACGGGAGCCTCAGGAAACACCAAGTTTTTCAGCAGGGAATGGAGGTTACGGCCACCAGCAGTGAGAAACAGGGTTGACTGGTTTTGTGCGCCACTTTTGCGTATACTGCACCACAGTTCGAACTGTTCTACCCAGTCCTCTATCTCGGATGGACTGACGTGCAGGTTCAGTTGTTCAATAGTTGGAAGCTCCATCGCGCGACGCCAATATGTAGTAGTTGTAGTAAATGTAGTACGCACTGATCACGAAATACGAATCATGGATTAGCAATCACGGATGCCACGTAAGCACTGACTCACACTGGCACTTGAACGACAAAGACCCACAGAGATCAAATCCTGGGATTCGCCAGCAACCACCCGACCTGTCACAAGAATATTTGCATTCAGACACTTCAAAAGTGCCAAAATACACCGCAGCACTGAAAATTTGAGGCAGCAAGAGGAGGAATATCTCCATCAAGTACACCTTTGCAGCGGTTACACCATCAACTTTGTCAAACAGACAATAACTGTGACACAACAACACACAAGGACAAACGGACAACGGATTAAACGAATAACCCTACCTTATGTGAAGAACATTTCTGAACTGACCACGAGAATACTGAAACCACACAACATCCAAGTCGCCCACAAACCGACGACGATCCAAGAAGCAACAAGAAGATAAAAATCGAACAAATGTGATCTACCGCATCAACTGTAAGGAGTGCAACAAGCACAACTTTAGTCAAACGAGAAAACTAGCAATTCGCGTGCACGAACCCAAACTGGCCGTCGGAAGACACGAAGCGCTCTCACTCATCTCAATTCACGAGAACCGGGAAGGACACAACTTCGATTTAGAAAACATCAAAGTCATCGATCAGGCCAGTACCAAGCACACAAGAGAATTCCCGGAAGCTTGGTATTCATCGGAAACTAACCGAGACATTGACATCGATCAAGTCTACACCCCCATGCAACAAAAGGATCAATCCGCGCGAAAAAGGTGGGTCGTGTCACACGACACAACAGGACAACAGTAACACACACTGATCGATCAACGACCAACCGTCACATTGCTCGCTTCCACCTCATCAGCCAATCAGGCAACGCCAAATATCTACATAATTAAACTACCTGTATGGACAAAGGGACACTCGTAAGCGCTTGCCCGATTACTGCATTGAGAATGTCACCTCGATTGGTGATGGAACGTTTGTAATACAATTCTTCTTTTTTTTCTTTTTTTCTGCCAACAATTGAACATCAATTTATACTACTCGAACTACAAAAGCAACAATCAACACCGTTGTTAACAGAACTGTCATATACAGAAGTGTTTTGAGGGTATAAATTTATTTCTTACTCAGTAATTTTGGCCTAAATGGCAGTCTCACTTGTGAAAGCTGATTGAACTATTGTATATTCATTATTGGAATCACGTTAACAATAGTTATCATTATTCGTGATATACAAAAGCCAGGAAGTGCGAAGTCAACTACCTCGTGGAAGAATTGAATTCCGGTTTTTTTCATGAGTACGTAAACCAGGACCCTGATATGTAGAATAATCCAGTTGCAATTTGGGAAATTTAAACATCTGGATCGATTTTCCTTGTTCACTTGGCCCCGTGCTGATAGGCCTACCTTGAGAAGGAGTTTATTGACCAATGTTCTGTTTCTTGGTCCCGTGTACTTTTATTGAAGTCGTACTTTCTGCCAGCGTATGACGTAGGTCAGTCGACAATTGTCGACATCAGATTTCTAACAATAACTTCATGAAGCAATTGACAGCTTCACGTGTAATGTGTATTCAGAGCAGATAATATGAGCTCTGCAACAGGAGCCACGTGTGGCGTTTCATTTGCGAACACATGACACAACGCTAGGAGTATTTGTATGCTACGTGTTCAGGTAGTCATTGTCCTGTCGCGGGTTTCTCTTGACAGCTTCACCGGAACGTCCAGTTTTGTCAACGCCCCGGAATGGACGAACTGTAGAACTCAGTGCTGGATGTGGCGCTTACTCACCCCCCACCAACAAATGAATTACGATGTTAACCTTAGTTCTTTCAGATGTTTACCCCTTTCACCGATTTGAAAGGGAATTTTTCACTCCAGTGTGATGGTTGTGTGACGCTAAACATGAATCGAGGAACGCTGGGCTTGTTTTTGATGCACCGTTCGCGAATCAAATTCAAACTGATGATTGTATTCCGATCAAGCTAACCGCTTCAGACTCAGCGCGACAAATAATGGATGAGGGAGTGTCAGGCTTACAAAGCCAAACAACCAGCAACTGACCTTGATACATACTGCGTCCTAGACACGGGTGACCTTGATAATATACAACCCGCGGTTGAGGTCAGCGATGGAATCAAGTGAGACATGAACCAACTTGCAGC